TAACAAGAAATTTAAGTAAGAGTGGCAAATAGTTCCTATGGAGCCGAAACCAGCAGAAGAGTTAGTAGACATGTTAGCAAGTAGTACCGGAACTAGGCCCAAAATACGAAAAGCTACGAAATCAGCATAAGTAACCGATTTAGAAGCGGTACCTGACAAAACTGCACAAGCACGTAGTAGTGAGCAGGCTCAATTAGTTAGTTCAGGCATAAATAGAAGGCCAAAAATAAGGAAAATAACCCAAGCTGAAAAAGATTTTGAAAAAAATAATATCCAAAGGTCACTGAGTTTTGACAGCAAAATAGACCATTTGTTGTTAATGGAAAGTAGTGAAATGAATCAGCCAGCTAATATGAAAGGTAAAGGGGAAGATCAATATCGAGAAACCTCAACAGGTACAGATACAGGACGCAAGTCTGAAAATGAATAAATAATGAATTCAGTAGCTGTAATGATGAGGCAGCAACAAGAGTTTTTATCGAACTGCATGCAAGAGATGAAAATGGAAGTCATAACTCAAACAACCGTCTACAAGAAATGGAGCAAAGATCTAATCAGACCACGCGAAACCACTTAGGTAACCAGGAGATTCAGCGGGAGCAGCACTTAGCATTTCCAATAGAAAGAGGGATCTAGAACGGTGGCATTTGAAGTTCGACGGTTCGAATAAAGAAATGACAGTAGAAAGCTTTGTGTTCAGAGTCGAGAGAATGAAAGAACAACACTCAGTTACAGATCAACAACTTTTTACGGACTTCCATTGTCTGTTGACTGGGGGATCACTAAAATGGTACTGGCAACAACTAGAGTACCATGAAGGTAACCGATGCTTCGATTATAGGCAATTCAAAAAGGAGCTGTTGGCACAATTCAAATCTGCCGAAAGTGACTATGACATCATAAGGGAAATCACGGATCGGAGCAACAACCCAGCGAAAACCTCGAGCAGTATAACGCCGAGATACATAGCCTGACGTTCAAACTGAGAAAGAAAATTCCTGAAGTGGAGTTGGCGACAATTATAAAAAATAACGTTAAGCCAGGAATAGCTAGTCTACTATTCGCAGGGAAAACAAGCTCCGAGGTAGGCACATTAGTGAGATCGTAAATGAAGAAGTAGATAAGGCTGAAGTAGACAAACATTCACAATGGGATTTAGAAGCGTTCAGTTCTCCACAGAACAGACAAGGCGAAAATTAACAGCGTGGGCAGTTACAACAGAGAAATAAGGGGCAAAACACGCTTGGAGGTAGAATTGAAACCCGTTACCACGAGACAACGATCACGAGCAACCATGATGCAGGTAGCATGTGTCCATCTCCATTCCACTTAAATTTGTGTTATTCTTGTGGAATGCCATGTGATTTTTATATTATAAATGATAATATGGAACAAGGGTCAAGGTGTAGGTCATCTTTCGATGGCATGCCGTGCTTTTTATGTAAAGAAAACATATAATATTGCTGATATAACAAGAGAGAGGGAAACGGCTGGAGGACAGTGGCACCCGATGCCAGTGTCGCCAGAGGCAAGACCCAGAACGACGGTACAAATCATAAAGCGAAACCAATCATTGTTAGCAAATATAGT